CAAAATCCTTACAATAGCCCAGGCACAGGCCTGGCCTTATCTGGGCCCTTTTTCCTCATTCCCCTCATACCTACTCAGCTCTTCCCTGTTCTCACATCAGGGCCTTTGCACTCGCTGTTCCCTCCACTTGAGTACTCTTCCTCCTCATCTCTCTATGGTTCGCTCACCTCCTTCAGGTCTCTGCTCAACTGTCAGCCCCTGGGAGAGGCCTTTCTGCCCATGCTATATGAAACTGCAAACTCATGCACCCTCACTGCCCTCACCCCCCTGCCCCCTCATATTTCTGCAGTGCTCTCATCAGCATCCCACAAGCTATGTGTTTAACTTGTGTCCACTAGTGTCTGCTCCAGGAGGACAGGGATCTTTGTCCATTTTGTTCATTGCTGTATCCCTTGTGCCCAGATCAGGGCCTGACACACAGCTGACATATGAAGTCAATATCTGCTAAAGAAATGGCTGACTCTCCCCTGTTCATAACTAGCCTGGGTGGTCCCCCCCTGGCCTTAGTAGGGCTCCTGCCCTCCCTTGCTGTCTGATTTGGGAGTTCTTCACAATGCCAGATTACTAACCGTCAACCCAGGCCTTGACACTCACTTGCCCTTTGCCTAGTATAGGGGTCGGCAAACTTTTGAGATGGAAGAGCCGCCAGGGGTCAGCAAACTACAGCTTGCGAGCCTCGGAAGTAAAATTGAAAATGAAAATAAACCTATCATAGTTTCATTTATAAAATGTTTAAAGGATATTATTCACATAATGGTGATTATGTAAAACTATATTTATGGCTCTTGAATAATTTTTAAATTGTCGTGAGGGACAGGATTGGCTCTTCCAGGGGTCGGCAAACTTTTGAGACGGAACGTACCCAAAGAGCCGCAGTTTGCCGACCCCTGGCCTAGTACATTCTACTTGCCACCCTTCTTAGCTGTCACCTCCTCAGANAAGAACAAAACGACAGCAACTTGTCTGTTCCCCTTACCCCAATTCCCCAGCACTGTTCCTATCCCCCTAATTCCCCAATAAAAAAAATCTTTAAAAAAAAAAAAGAAAGAAATCTGGTGTGACTAAGTGTAACATACAAGGGGCCAGAGAAGGCAGGGCCAGACCAGGCAGGGTCTTTGAGGCCTCAGTGAGGAACCTGTACCTTCTCCTGAGAGAACTGGGGAGTAATGGGAAGGTTTGGTGGGGGAAGGACAAGGTCAGGTTTGTATTTGGTTCTGAGAACAAACTGAACTGGAGAGGGCAAGACTGGAGGCCGTGACACTAGGGATAAACAGGGATGCAGAGGAGAGGAGGAAGAAGGAACAACCCTCTTCAGTTCCCATCCTTCAAGACTCAGATATGGTACCACATGTACATACATCATTTTTTCCACCTATCCTTCCAACCCACCCACCCATCTGACATCCCAAAGCCCCACGGGCTGGACCCAGTGGTGAAATTGGGGACATGGAAACGAATCAGTCAGTCCCTGCCCTCAGAGAGCTTACAGTCTGCTGGAAAAGACACACTGCCAATTACTCAGAGCTTATTCTCAGCTGTCTAATCTCAAGGAAAGCTCTGAAAAACCCTCTTAGGGAGGTAGTGATGTTATACCCATATTACAGACAGGGCATCTGAGTCTCAGAAGGGATGTGCCTCTCCCAGCGGCTACCCAGATAGCACACAGCACTGCTGAGACCTGAACCCAAGCCTGTCCAACTCCCAAACCCATTCCCCCTGCCTCGGGTAGCCCCACAGGGAACCAAGCTCCCCTAGGTCAGGAGAACTGGCACTTAAGAGATAATCCCTGCCTCCCCCTCAGTTTACAGGCAGAAATCTGAGGCCCAGACAGGGAAAGGCTTTACCTGAGGTCACAGAGTGATACCTGGTTCAGGTCTGTCTCTCATATACCCATGAGCAGGGGGGCAGATGACCTGAAAAGGGCAGGGGCCTTAAAGATCAAGTGCCCTGACTCTGCCCAGCTCAGCCACTTGTTGGATCATTTCCCTTCTATGAGCCTATTGTGTTTCATCTGTGAAATGGGAATTATATTCAGTGCAACCTTGAGTAAGGAACATACGGTATACGAAAGCAAAAGTACTCAGGCCAAAAACTCACTCATTTGTTCATGCCATCCATTCACAATTCACCCAAAGGCTGGAACAAACCATAAAGCCATTGGTTGGGACAACCCTTTATTCACCCATCCACTGCCTAGGACCACCAATTCATTTATTCATTCATTCAGTAATCAATCCACTTTCTGGAACAATCCATTCTTCCTAACACATTAATCCATTGGCTGAGATAACCATTCATTCATTCATTCACTCATTTACTCTCTGCCTGGGAAAAGACCTATTCATTTAATACACTCATCCATTATGGGGACAACCACTCCTTTTTCAGCTGTTCATTCACCCAGTCACCTACCATTAAGTAGCACAGCACATTCATTTACTCCATCTTTCATTCATTGACTAAGACAACACTTTCACTTATTCATTCCCTTATTTATTCTCTCTGGGACAATTTAAATCCCCTCCATCCCTTCCATCCTTCATCCCACCACCCCACCCCCAATGGGTTTACCCAATCATCTATTGGTTCAGACTGGTCCCCAAACTTAGATTTGGAGGGGCCAGGGTAAGGAAAAAGTAAAAAATTTTGGGAGGTGGGATTTTGGGGGTTGGCCTTGGAGGGGGTGTTGGAATTGAACAAGTAAGGATTTAGCCTGTTTTATTGTACATTCCACACAGGCAGGGTCAGAGAAAGGGAGACACAACCAAAGGTGGTTAGGGAAGACTAGGTTCGGGACCAAACAGGTGCGGTGACACTGACCTTTGCCCCAGACGTAGAGGTTCCCCCCAGAGTCCCCAGTGACCACATCGCCACCTTCCAAAAAGGTCACACACAGCACGTACTTCGGTTTCTCGTGTTTCTAGGGTGGGGCAAAAGGAGGTGTCAGAAGTTCGCAGAAGCCACGTGGTCTCCCAGCGCTTGCCCATCAGCCAGGACCGTGGTCCAGGAGATCTCCTCCTTGCTTTTGGGTGAGGCCCTGCATGCAGTGTCCCCATCTCCAACCTGCTTCCATGGAGTGCTCACGTTGCGTAGTTTCTGACCATACTGTCTCCCTTTCCCACACCTGGACCCAGTTCCTCCCTCTTCTCTCTCCTCCCTGATTTCTGTCCCCTCTCTGTCCCTGGTTTCCCCTGCTCTCTTCTCCTAGGATTCTCCTCTCTCTACCCCTCAGTCTCCCCTCATTTCTCCCCTCTTCCTCACTCCCCATCTTCTGCTTGTCTTTAGGTCCCTCTCCCTGGCCCCACCTTTTTCTCAGTATCTTTTCAGTATCTCTTCTCAGTATCTGTTTATTCTCCATCTGTACCTGGTATTCTCAGGGCCTCCCTTTTTGGGATGAAGCCCCAACTCTCACCAAAGACAGGAGAGCCATGCCAGAGGCACCCCTGTACCTTCTCTCCCAGGCCCTCTGCTTCCCACTCAGCTTTTCTCAGTGCGTGTTTCTTCCCACCAGTCAGCCTCTGACCGCTCCATGTTTATCCATGATATCAACAACTGCAGCACCATTTACTGAGCAGTTACTATCTGCCAGCAGCTGCTATACTCTTCATCTTATTGAATCCTCACAACT